GGTTTTTGGTGGATTTAATTAAGTCTTGGATTGCAGAGGATGAATGTCCTCTAGCAATTTTCAGACGATATATACGTGTGTAAAGTTTGTGAAGGCAGGAGGAAAAAAGCTTCCGCGATCGTCTCCTCTCCGTTCCTCCAAGCCCCGCCCCCTCCCTGAAAATAATGAGTGACAGGCTGATAGTGACCCGATAGAAACTTTATTATTCACTTAATCACTGAGATATAATGAAGCTAACTTAATCTCATACATTCATGGGATTTATGCAACAGTAAGACAGAGAATGTAAGTGTGCACCCACATGCAGTATTTTAGTTGTTATATGCTGTTGTAAATACTCCTGTTGTCTGCTGTGTTCAGACTCAAGTCCTGTGTGTGATGCCACATTCAGGACATTCAGTGTCCTTTTTTTTAACAGAAGACCGTTGCTAGAAGCTGCAGCTAGACTGCAGAAGCATTCGTTTTTTGTTTTTGAGGATGGAACACACACAGATATAGGGAGGCTAGACCTATACAATTCATTTATTTTGGTTTATAAATGAATGTCAAGACATATATGTTATTGATTTCTGAAGCACTTTCTAAATAATAAAAAGAGAGTTCATATATATTTACTGCATGTATGCATTGATGAAAAATAAGCCATGTGCAGTAATATAGAAAATTGAGGATGCAACGCATTGGTATGAATCGTGATGCATCGGGATGCATCGGGATATCGAATTGAATCGAATCGTTGACAGGATAATCGTAATCGAATCGAATCGTGAGACCAGTGAAGATGCACAGCCCTAATAGGTATTGGTATCATCACTGAGCGATCAGAATTTGCGACAGGGGAAGCAAACACAGACATCACAACACAAGATCGTCTCACCTTAGCTGTTGGTTTCTGATCAAAAGTCGTGTTCAATGGCATTAAAACGATAAAAAAAAGCGGAGGATTCACTCTGAGAAAATAAGATCAAATCGACTCCCTAATTAGTCATTCCAAAAACTTTGACTCACCACTTTTTTGCGTTCAATTTGTAAAGCAACTTCAGTCCTAATCAAAAATACCAAGTATGTAATCATTGTCAGGATTTTAACCCTTTAAATGCCATTTTGAAAACATCAAATCACTGTTTTCCATATAATACATATCTGGGGAGTGGCTTCTTTTTTTTATCACAGTCTTGGATATGTCACAGATAGTGAGAGTAGAGAGTGATACGGAGGATGACGGTTATAAAGACGTGTTTCTGAGACACTTTAAAGAGGCGTTAGACGTACCGGCTGCAGTCTGAAGACGACGGGGATCTTGGAACTGATCGTCCCGCCCCTGATCGATCAGGACGTCCAATGGAGGGCCGGGGTAAGAAGCAGCCAATACTGTGGCATCGTACTCCTGGAACACACACACACACACACACACACACACACACACACACACACACACACACACACACACACACACACACACACACAGACACACACACACAAACACACACACACACACACACACACACACACAGACAGAGAGACACACACACACAAACACACACACACACAGACATAGAGACACACACACAAACATACACGGGAACACACATACATACACAGACAGAGACACAAACACACACTTACAGACAGAGACACACACACAGACAGAGAGAGACACACACACACAAACACACACAGGAACACACATACACACACAGACAGAGACACAAACACACACACACAGACAGAGACACACACACACACACACACACACACACACACACACACACACACACACACACACACACACACACACACACACACACACACAGGAACACACAGACAGAGACACACACACACAGTCAACATTTATTGAAATACTAAAAAAGTTTACGGTTATTTACTGATTCAGTTTGCATTAAAAAAGACAAATCATCGTAAATAAATAAATACTAGAAAAATAGGTGCTTTTTCTACACTATAAATCTCCAGCTTGCTTTTAAATGCTCTTTAAAATAGATTACTAAATGTGATCATGATAATTATTTCTAAAATTAACATAAACTATGTGTATCTAACCAAAGAATCTGCTTTAATCCATCTTTGTTTTCATCTATTTTGCACATTCTTTAGACAAGCTAAACACCTGAAGTACTTCTACACATCATCTAAAGTACGAGTCTAAACAAGTTAAATATCTGCAGAAATACGTGACTTCACAGGCTCTTCTGCAGGATACATTAACAGCCACTAGCATAACACACTTGAATCTGTGGTGGAGCTAATGCATTGTGGGTAATGTAATTACCAAATAAGATCAGTATCATTATTTTCAAACTTCACATAAAATATTTTCATCTAATCAAAAATTCTGCTTCTTTGTTTTCATATATGTTGTACGTTCTTGTACTTTTATACAACCACAACAAAAATATATATGTTTTTAGTGTGATGATGAGATCTGATGACACTCAGGTGTGTTTCCTCTCACCTGCCAGGGGTCTCTGTCCGACCCCAGGTATCCAGAGAAAGCCTTCTGACCCCAGGGACTCTGAGCCGGGTTACAGATCGGAGCAAACGCTGACACAGTCTGAGGAAACACGGGAGAATCAGAAATAAGGACCAGAATATGTGAACACACACACACTGGATTCAAGATTCAAAGGTTTTATCATCATATGTTCAGCAGCTACAGTGTAGAAATGGCAATGAAATTCTTCTGACCTGAGCTCCTCCAACAATGCAACATATATCATAAAATACAAATAGTGCAAGAAGTCTACATATATGTAAATAGAATATGATATGTAGAAGATTAGCATTGCACTCAGGGTCAAATACCAACAGACACACAGAGGTAAAGACAGAGTAACATGTGCATGCAGGTAGGGAAGGAAACAGCTGTTTATATGTGTGATGTGTGTGTGATAAACAACACTTAAAGGTCTCCTATTGTACTGCTTTTAGGCAGATATTACAGGTCTCAGATATATAAAAACATGTCTATGAAGTGTTTTGCTCAAAATACCAAACAGATCATTCTAGCCTCAAACCCTCTATTTCAGCGCTGATATTTTTTGCCATCCGCACGATATTAGTCCTGGTGCAACAGTTCACCAACAGAGAGTTTCACAGGCAGTTAGGGAAAAGGTTCTATAAAAATCAAACAATTTGAAATGTTGTTGATCACTGCTAAAACATAGCTATTTTCCATGGTTCCTGTGACCTAGTGTCCAAAAGTATAGTTTAAATATAATGCCTAAACCCTGCCTGCCGTCATTGTTTTTTTTTTTTGTTAACACTTTTGTTAAACACTAGACCCCATGTCTTTCAAAATGTACTTCATTGCCCACCAGGGGCGGTTCTGGGGGGGGGGCAGGAGACTTTGGACCCCCCTGTGGCACCCCTAAAAAAAAAGAATAGGCGGAACTAACGCTATTTGTCATTCTAGTCGGACCCATTAGAGCGTAAAAACTGTAACTATAAGTATCTGAAATAAATATGTGTACTGAAACAAATACCAATAGCTGTATTGCATTGTTGTTATGAGCAATTACTTCATACTGTCTTTGTCTTTTTCGTCCTGCATTTATTGGGCCCCCTTCAGAAAATAACTGGCCCCCCAGTCAAATTGGTCTAGAACCGCCACTGTCGATAATTGCAGTGTAGATATATGTACTGGGTTTTCTGTTACTGTAAAAGATGGGCTTTTTAGCTATAGCTAGCTCATTTTTCAGATGGGTCCGTTGGGTTGTCCTTAGGCAGTGTTCAAAGACATCTGGGGTCCTACAGCAGTACCATGCTCTCTCTGTCCATGATCTGAGGTCCGGTTGAGGACAATGATCCTGTATGCCAATGATCCAAGTATCAGCAAGTTAGTTCCTCTGATTCTGATTTGAAATGGTATAAAACAAGTTATTTAGTGGGAATGCTGACACAGCATTCCAACTATCTGTTATGCTACGCACAAAATTATTTATTATTCCGCCGGGTTATTTTGCACCACTTCTCCTCCCACATTGAACATCGCAGAAACTCCGTTCAAACATCAAAACGTTCAGCTCGGTCTGGAATCAATGGCAATTACTTGTATCATTCATAACTTTCATAATTCCAGAGATACATCCCATAATTCATTCCATTTTAACATGGAAGTCAATGGAGAAACTCTTCAGACTTCAACAATCTTCATGCAACTTCAACTGCTAACTGCTCCTTCTTCAACTGCTGCTCCTTCATACTTTCACTCAGAAACCTCATTCCAACTTTAAAATGTTACACATCTTCCTGACATTATTCGTGTAACACAACTTTTAAATCTGATTCGTACTTTTAGAGATATTAAACATTGTTCAGACCTTGGTAAAGAGGCCTTCTTCAGATTTTAGAGTGCGTGATGTCACAGCTAGAGTGGAGGACAGATTTAATTTTGCCCTCATATTTTCTTTTATACCTGCCATAATTCCCAAACCCTACATTCCTGAGACATAATTTCTCATGAGAAAAGTAGGAAAACATCTCGTAGCTTGATAGATAACAAAAAATTAAGCAAAACAATTAAACAAAATGCCTCTTGAGGGCATGAAGTGACAAAAACGTTCAACATGTCTCCATTAAAACCCATTGTAAGTTCAGCCTCATCTTTCCCCACCACAGCAGCCGCTCACCTTTAGTTAATCTGCCAAAAAGGCCACATTATTAACCCGAAAGTACACAAAAAGCACACTTCAGATGCTCAACTTCCTTGACATGCTTCACACTTTGATATTTCACCGATATCTGTTACGGTACTTCAACAAAACGTTCACATGTAACAGGTTTATCTCTCATTCAGGACAATGAAAATGCTCTCCTCTCACTGATCACCATGGAAACCTTTGATCTCTGGACACGTTGTTAGCTCAAATATAAACACCTGTGTCACAGAACACGATGATGTCATAACTCTAATTGACATAATTAGAGCAGCAGACTAACGACGTGGTCACTGGAGAAAATCTTTTTTTCTTTTTGTTTAGGTACACACTGGATGAAGGAGATTGTCCCTCTGATCATGAGTGGAGGAGATCCAGAACCTGTTGACAATATTGTTAACTGGAAACGTGTTCCCTGGCTTGAATTGCAGCAGACCGCCTCCCTCGAACTTGAACAGAGGCCCTCTCCACGACTGTTGACTACACACTTCCAGTACAACATGATGCCACCATCTTTCTTTGAAGTAAAGCCAAAGGTAAACCTATCAACTAAGGTGGATCAGATTCAATGTGATAAACGCATCACAGACAGTATGTGTGAAGGAAAGGGTCTGACGTCATGTCATCACTGCAGGTCATCTATGTGACGAGGAACCCCAAAGATGTGTTCACATCGTCTTTTCATCATCATGAGGCGGCTTCCTTCCTGGTGGACCCAGGCCCACAGACCCAGTTCCTCCACAAGTTCCTTGATGGAAAAGGTTTTTCTGATTGTTACAGATATGTAATGTTTAGAATGCGTTCATAACAAGATACATATCAGTAAGTGGGCCGAAAACTCTAAAAAACTCTTTTACCTGGTAACATGATTTAAAGGGGACTTATCATGCACATTCTCAATTGTGTTTTGGGATTTTACTAGCCCATCATTCCAACTTTAACGTTCAAAAAACACATTCTTGTTCTTATAAATTCTCTGAAAATGCTCATTTTAAGCACCTGTCTACAACTCATGGTCTTTCAAGATCTCCCTTGTTAAAGGCTACACATAATGCAAAATGCACTTGCTAATGGCTTTGCAAGATAAACATCTATCCATGGCGTGCTAGCAACCCAAAATACCAGCAAGAGTAAAATAGAGAAGACGGTCCATTCTTATACATTGTGGGTCGCTAGCACGCCATGGATACATGTTTATCTTGCAAAGCCATTAGCCAGTGCATTTTGCATTATGTGTAGCCTTTAACAAGGGAGATCTTGAAAGACCATGAAGTTCAGTAAACAAACTAAGTTATGATAACCTCTTATGAAAGGAATACTTGTGTCTCCTGTTCCTTCCAGTGCTGTTTGGCTCGTGGTTTGATCATGTAAAGAGCTGGCTGAATGCTGAAGATGAAGAGCACATCATGCACATCTCCTATGAACAGATGATAATGGTGAGACTCAGGAACAATCCTCAAATCTGCCTCAAATCACTTTTCCAAATATTTCCCCAATAGTTCTGACCTTGATTGAGCAATCATCTTCAAACTCCTCCTACTAAGATATTGTATACTGGGAGAGCCACTGCAGGACTATGAGCTGATCTGTGTTTCTCTTTAGGACCTGAAGGACTCTGTGTGCAACATGGCTCAGTTCCTGCAGAAACCTCTGGACCATGAAGCGATAGAGAAGATAGCCGACCGATGTTTGTTCAAGAACATGAAGAAGAACAACATGTCAAACTACTCTACTGTTCCTCGTGAATTACTGGACCAGACAAAGTCTGGGTTTCTCAGGAAAGGTGAGTGTCATTAAATAATACATACAGTACAAAAGGTGTATTTGAATCTGGAGGAGCTATAACCGAGGATACACTGATGTATTTCCGTTACATCCTGAAATGATCTGTTCATGAAATACATAATGATGTTTATGGAGAGTTTGCTGGGCTTTATTGTTTTATTTTCTCACTAATATTGCACTATCTAGTCATAGCATGTCTTTGGGGGTAGGGCATTCATTGGTGCTGAGTCATGTTTGGTGGATGGTATCAGGACCATCAGGGAATCCTCACATAGAAACTGACATACTACACGAAGTAAGCTAAGTAGCCAATATAAGACAGCAGAACAGATAAATGTGTGCTCACTATTTGGCAAGATGACTAAGTCATGAACCTGCTTGCCTTATAGTGAACGGATGAAGATCACAATGATTAATAAAACATTTCATTTCCAATCAAAAATGTCTGCATCAAATGTTGTAACTAAATCACAGAAAATGTTGCTCCTCCTCAATTTTACAATATTTGTATTTTTCGAGTTTCATTTAATCTATTCATCTGCCCTGCTTTTACACATCCTCATCTTTGCATTTACGTTTATTTTATATAAAGATAGAATAGATACATAGATACATAGATTCGGAGGGATGAAACGATGGGTTACGTATTGTAGCCCTAGTTATATAAGCACAGGCGGAGCCCTCTACTGGACTCTAGGGGTACTACCCCTTGACCTCACTATGCGAGCGTTCACCTACTGAGATATCTTTAAAAATAGCTGGCCCTCTGGGCGGGCCTACCTGAGTGCACGCGCAAGCCCACCGTATATAAGGCGGCCTCGCCTCCTGACTGTCATCCTACACCCTCTTCAGCGAGCACAGGACAGACAGGGCCCCTAGTAGAGGGCTCCGCCTGTGCTTATATAACTAGGGTTACAATACGTAACCTATCGTTATATCTCCCAGGCTCCGCCCTCTACTGGAATATAGAGTGGCGAAGTCCCTCCCCTTCCGGGGGACCTCCATGGGACCTTATTTCGGAAAAATTATGTATTGAAGTCAATGGAGAGAGAAAGATTATCTTTCGATCCCGTTTGAATTGTGCCACGAATTACACATATGATATTAGGGTTAGGGTTAGTTACTAATGCTTTTGCATCGAAACGTTCCCTGTATTGTACAACATTGTACAATACATTAATCTTTTTCAATACTAAATAAAGTCCATCAATTGGAGGCTTCAATACCTCACTTTCTTACCCATACTAAAGCACTCCCCTCTCCGCCTCTTCCTCCAGGTGCTGCAGCCTGGTTCTCTGGGTACTCTATGTCCATATTTAAAGACACTTTCCCTGCATTTTAATCACTATTTCTGCCTTGGAAAGTGAGGTTCTCTACACACTTTTTCCCCTAAAATGATTTTAAATCATTATTTTTGCATTTAAATGCATTTATCTTATCATTAATATGGTTCCCTGAAACAATGCACATACACTGGAGCTCACTGGGGTCCTGTATATGCTTTAATCAGGCGTTTTAACACTTTTTTCCATGAAAATAATTGTTAATACTGCACAGAAACGCACTCATAACACCCTTATTACTTATCGTAGCTGCACGTCCATCCCATTGATTAGCATCGTGAGAAGACACAAAATCGATCGGTACCTACATTATCACTCCATGATAAGAACTCTTGAAGATATTACAAGAACAGACATCAGCGCTAGGTAGCTAAAAACGGCAAGATGGCTTACCTTGGTCGCTGTCTGGTCAAAAGTGGTCTTCAATGGCAGTAAAACGGTAAAAACGCTGCTGAAGGTTAATCCATAGGTTAATCCAATGTGTCTGTGTCCCTTTGAAATGATTTCTGATAATCCATAAGCAATAAAACTGCTTTTCCGTTTCCAGATATCAGAGCGAGAGATAGGTTCGCTCTCATGCAAAGCTGTGTGCGCTTAGCTCTCATTTCTCAATGGTAACATGTGTGTGTATGTGGAAATTCCCCTTCGATTATATTGGCTCTAACGGTCAAAAAGAAATGTCAATCACCAAAATCGAAAAATGGGTTCCAGAGAAACAGTGAAAACGCCCATTTCCACCCAAATCACCTCAGAGATGGATTTTATTTGCTAAACCTCTCTAAAAAGGTCAAATGTATCTTGTTTTGCATAAATCTCGACACAGGCTACTTATTATATGTTTTACTTTGGATTCCTAAAGCTTTTAGTCTACCTTAAGGGTAGTTTTCACTATAAGTAAAAAATAATTTTGGACGGACACTATAATTTACAGTTTTTTACTATGTTCAATCTGAATTTTCTTTAAAATAAAAAATATCTATACTTTTCTACATCCAACTCACAGGTTTATCATTACTTTGAGAAAAAAGATTATTAATTTAACCTTTTAGAAGGGAAGATATGGTCATTTGTTCTGGGAATGTCATTTTTGAGCCTGAGACCTGAAAAACAGTCACAGTGCTTAACAGGTTAATCACTATCATGGGGCTATATAAATCCATCTCCGGGTAATTCGGAGCACAATTGTACCTTTTACTATTTAAATGTATTTGTATTGGGCTAGGAAAGTGACATTCCTGGGTGATTTTGTCAGTTTATGGAGCTTAGCCCACAAATCCTGGAGGTTCCAGGCCGAGTTTGGGTGCTCATAAGCGGCCTGCCAAGCGCACCCACCCGTGGAAAGAAGAAAAAAGTGAAGAAAACGGTTAATTATATTTTAAAATAATAAAAAATGAAGTTTAAAAAAATTGTCGAAAAAATGACTAAGTGCCAACGGAGATGGGGCCCGAAAAAGCTCAACCCTTTGGGTCTTTGGGTCCTTTTTTCCCCTTCTCCGTTGTAAGTTGCAACGGAGAAGGGGGAAAGTGTCCAAGGCTTAATTTCCCCTTCTCCGTCAAAAATATTCATCCATACATTTTGGACTACAGTCAGCACGAAATCGGAAACCCGGTTTTTGGGTGCACAAAAAAAACGGCTGTCTGCAAACACGGAGGTGAAGTGTCCGCTCACCATGCACTTTGGGTCTGCCTTATTTTTTGCCTCAAGACCCCCCCAGTCTGGTTCTCACAAAAGTTGACTGACAATGTGCCTCTGGAGGAATGTAGGGGGAGTTGACAGGGGACTCTTCCCGCCTCATGAGGCACTATTTTCGGACACTATTTTTACATTTTCACCCCTTTTTCTCGGTTCTCACAAAAGTTTACTCTGACAAATGTGCCTCTGGAGGAATGCAAGGGGAGTTGACAGGGGACTACCCACATCATGAGGCACTATTTTCGGATACTTTTTTTCATTTTCACCCCTTTTGCCTGGTTCTCACAAAAGTTTACTTTTTTTACTTTTATTTTGGCAGCTGTTTTTGATTTAGTCTTAGTCTTTAGACGAAAATGGTTATTAGTTACATTTTAGTAATTTCTATCCTTCATAGTTTTAGTCGACGAAAACTCAAAACGTTTTAGTCTATTTTAGTCGACGAAAACTCAAAATGTTTTAGTCTATTTTTAGTCGATGAAAAATTACATTTTAGTCAAGTTTTAGTCAAAATGTTTTCTCTCTTTAAACCAATTCAGTTACAGGTTTCTGACATTGGAATCAATGGGACAGCATCAAGTGTTGAAATTCGTAGAGCAACATTTCACTCTCTTAACACTTGACTTGTGTAATATCTAGGGATGGGTATCGTTGAGGTTTTCTACGGTACTACTAGTCTTAGCGATACTGCTTATCGATCCGGTACTTTAACGGTATTCTTCTATTTACTTTGTCATTTTTTAAAGGGAAATACTAACAAATTGTTAACCGAATTAATCCATCCATCCATCTTCTCCTGCTTATCCGTGGTCGGGTCGCGGGGGTAGCAGTTCCAGCAGAGAGCCCCAAACTTTATTTTCCCTGGCGACATCAACCAGCTCTGACTGGGAGATCCCAAGGCGCTCCAAGGCCAGCAAAGAGATATAATCCCTCCACCTGGTCCT